TCCCCCCCCCCCACACACACACACACACGCGCGGGCCTATATGCGATCCATCCACCAGGCTGTGAAGGGCTGGCCGAACGACCTCGACCAGCTCGTAGCCTTCTTCCGCAAGTGTGGGGCTGGGTCGGCCGAGGCGCAGTCGTTCAGCCGAGACAGCAACCGGCTTGCCAAGAACGTCGATTTCTTCTACCTCCTCTCTCTCTGGGCCGCCTGGCCCGGCTGGCACATTGCCAACATCCTGGTGCTCTTCTCCGTGTGGACTTACCTCTACGCACGGATTCTCCTGGGATCACTCACAGGTGCGTGTGGGCATCTGAGGGGGCGAAGGAAGAGAGAGAGAGAGAGAGAGAGAGAGGGGGGGGGGAGAGGGAGAGGGAGACCACGGCTGACGGCGCTTTGTTTGTGTGTTGGTGTGTGGTGGGTGTAGTTACTACGAGTGACGCGATGAACGAGGTGCTGGTGAATTGGGACAGCAAGCAGTGGAGCATGATGGACCACATATCGCTGGGGCTCTTCGTCTTCTTCTACGTCAAGTTCTTCGCAATGATCGCCGTCGAGGAGGGGATCGCACGGGGGTGGCAGCACCTCCTCTACCACATCAAATCGCTGTCCATCCTGCACTTCACATTCACAAGTGAAGCAGACACTGAGAGAGAAGAACGCCTTCCCCACCTCTCTCTCTCCCTTTGTGCGTGTGTGTGTGTGTGTGTATGCTTAGTTGGCACATGGACAACGGCCTTCGACGACACGATGCTGTACGGCCGTGCCAAGTACCAGAACGCCGGTCGCGGGCTGCAGATCGCCCACAAGGACTTCCGGCACATATGGCAAATGTACTTCTACTCACACTGGCAGCCGGCGGTGGAGCTGCTGCTGCTGCTCATCTTCTACTCGGTGAGGGAGGGTCACACACGCACACGCACACGCGGTGCTACGGCCATGGAGGCTGTGTTGTGTGTTGTGTGTGCAGGGTGGCCAGTCGTTCCTGCCGGTGAATGCCGCGCGGACGTGGTTCTTCTGGATTGTGGCCATCAGCTGGCTGTATATGCCCTTCTTATACAACCCTCTCGGGTTTGCCTGGAGCAGACTCGTGGAGGACCTCCGGCTGTGGCAGAGGTGGATGATCTCACAGGTGCGCACCACACACACACAAAGGGAGAGCGAGAGCGAGAGGAATCGGCGTGGGCGTGTCTGTGTGTGTGTGCGTGTCTCTGTGTGTGTTGCAGGGGGTGACTGATCCGCAGGAGTCGTGGTGGGGCTGGTGGCGGCTGCAGATGAACGGGCGGTGCAAGGCCCTGCGGCAGAACAGGCTCATCATCCTCGTGCGCAACATGCGCTTCCTCCTCCTCGCCCTCTGCATCTTCACCGCCACCGCCTTGTAAGCCGCCAAACCCAAACCCAAGGACGCCATTCCCCTGTCGATGTATTCGTGTGTGCAGCCGGCGAGACATGTATCTGTTCAACCAGCTGGCCCCCCCAATCGTCATGACGGGGTGCCTGCTGATGGGTCTCATGCTGGCCGCACGGGGAGAGCACACCAGGTTCACCCTCACATACGGCACCTGGCCCACCGCCTTTGCGCGCGTCATGCCGCTGCTGCGATTCATCGGTACGGAGAGACCCTCCCCAACACACACACACACACAGATCTGCCGTCTCACGTGTGTGTGCGCGTGTGTGTGTGTTGGGTGGTCAGGGTGGATCGTGACGGGCACATTGTTTGCGGCCGTGTTGTTCACGATGGAGGTGACCTTCGGCGAGCTGCTGGGCGGCCTGGCTGCGGTGCTGATGGTGCTGTGGACGCTGGCGCACTCTGCGGTTGAGACGGTGGGCTACTTTGAGGGCTGGATCGACTTCACCATGCAGCCCATGATCGTCGAGACAGTCAGGTGGGCTTCCCCTGCAAGTGGCCATGTCCCTCCCTCCCTGTCTCTTCGTGTGTGTGCGCGCATTAGGCTGTGTCATCTTACGTTGGGCTACGCCATCTTCATGCCGCTGTTTGCGCTGGCGGCCCTCAAGTATTTCCTCAACGCCTCCGAGTGGCAGACAAACTACATGTGGCACACCAACGTCACCAGCACCATCAAGACCTCCCAGATCGAGATGGCCAACCTCGTCAGAAAGGGCACCATCTCGACCCTTGTCAAGGGACACTACGAGCGGTTCGGCCGGCTGGAGGAGACCTCGCCGTAGCGCATCGCACATCGCACATCGCACATGGCATGGGTTTTGATTTTTGGCTGTGTGCCGTAGGCAGGGGAGGGAGTGGGGGTGGGGGGTGGTGTGTGTAAGCGGTTGTGGCGTGTACATAACAGTGTTTGTCAATGACTGATCGATCCGCTGACTGGCTGACTGACTGCCTGATGGATGGATGGATGGACAGAGAGGGGGCTAAAAGTGAGCTCCTTTGCACAGCGTAAGTACCTCTCGCCTCCCTGCGTAGATAGCCTCCCTCCCCAATAGCGACGCGACTGTATCAAATCAATCGCATTCATTTTCGTTTTCCCGTTCGTACCGTACTGCCTCAAACGTTTGTGTGTGTGTGTGTCTCTGTGTGTGTTTGTGTGGTTTGAGGGTTGCTATTCCGGCAGTGCGTTGATCTTGTATGTGTACAGCCCTCCCTGGTTACCTACCGTATGTACCTATCTACTACTCACTGCTGTACAGAACTCCCTCCTTCATGCCACCAACCACCGGCCTCCAAAAGAGAGAGGCCCGCCTTCTCCCTGCGCAGGCAAGGCGCACATGAGTGTGTTTCGGTGCCTGCTGCATCACACACGTGCGTCGATCGCTCTCTCATCCCTACGCCCCACCCCACCCCCACCCCGGCCCGTTGCCTGTGCTGTTGTCACTTATATAAATGGCTTGCTTCCGTGCTTCCTTCGTGCCTTCGTGGTCTGTGCTCTGTGCGTGTGTGCCTTTTTTGCTCTCTCTCCGCTGATCGGTTAAGTGTATGTCCCTCCCTGTGGATGTCTGCATGGTACATAGCTGAGATGGGTGTGGTGTGTAGATATCCCTCCTCCCCCCCCC